GATATGATATACATGTATATATGTGATGTGTGTAACATTTTATGATATGCAGATGTGTAATGTGTGTGCTTATGCACATATACAAAATTATTGTAACATTTCAATACATTTTACCAACATACACAAGTGTGACATCTATAGACATTCCTCTCACACACACACACACACACACACACACTGATATACTTACATGAATTAACATTACTGTCCAACATAGACAAACAAGCATTTCTTTGCATACACACCTGTACACTATTACAATTTAACATCTTATATATTATCTATTGCATTAATACACATGACATGTATCTGACTAATAAGAACTAATAAAAAAAAAACATCACTACTGTTTCAGCATTTTTTCATTTCTATCTTGATCTGACAAAGCTTTAATAAAAAAGTGAAACATGTTAGATTGAGATAAGTTTCCTACTTGTTCTTTATTTTATCATCTTGTCAGATTCCTATCCATATGATTTACATTTGATCTTCAACTCATACACATATCAGGCTAAGTGTAATCGAATGACAAAATGGAAAAAAAAAGAAATTATGTAGTACAAACATTTTGCAATTACATTGCATGATTTCTTTTTTTTTTTTAAATTGTTTACCCTGTGCAAGGTTCAAGAGCCACTCTTGAGGCTTGCTGAATGAGATTGTTATATGAACATTAGGAGGTAAGAAGTGCAGATTATGAGGATATATAGGAAAGATGATGGTTGACTCTAGACTTGAAGAAATTCAAGCCTTCACGGTAAAGACATGCTATGCCACTTACATAGTAGCAAACCACCTACATACCCTCCATATTCCATTAGTGAGAAGTACGATCTACTTGAACAGCTTCTTCCCGTGAACTACTACTCTGTGGAACTGACTCCAAAGATGATATTTCTCCGATTACTACTATCTTAGGTTAACCATTATCTTCCACTCCTATCCACACAAATTGCCTCTTAATGTAACCCTCTACTTTGAGTGGCCCCCAGGCCTTGTAAAGGGTGAACCTTACTGTAAATAAAAAAAGGTTAAGATTGTTGTGATTAGGGAAGCATCTTCTCAAGTTGTGTTTCTTTAGAAGAAGCTGCCAAAAGGAACTTTACCAATATGAAAGGAATAAGGTGGATTCATCCTAGTGTATATGGCATGGCTGGTCTTAGATACATAGGTATGAACAGGTGTGACTAATGAGTGTAGCTCATGAAAACATTCACCATAGAAATAGCTATAGAGTAGCAAGAGGCTTGCAAAACTTTGTGAGGAAAGAGGTTGTAGAGTGGAAGATACCTTTTTTTTTTTTTTTTTTTTTTTAAATCAATATTTTAATTATATAACTACTAAATTAGTAAGTCTTTTTATTATACAGGGTGTCCCTAATGTCTAAACCCCTTGGCAAAAAATGTATATTTTCAAGAAATTAAATTTTCAACAACATTTTATTGAATTGATATATTAACAAATAACATTTTCAATATGATTTCTATCATTTGTAAGGCAAAGCTTTTGCAAGATTCACATGAACTCTATGCAATATTTGCACACTGCCATCAATTTTAGCATATTAACTCTATGCGTTCAATCAAGTGTGTTGCATCTATGATTTTCATTGATGTGTTGTAAATAGGAAAGGTTGGCACACACATAGAAAATAAGTAGTTTTTCCGGAGAATATGGTACACAGTTGACAACATAGATTAATATAATAAACAGCTAATCGTTAACTCCTCTCGCTCAATAAGAGAGAGAGAGAGCTCACTATTTACATTATTTGGACTATTGTCCTCATCTTTGTCGCCATATTTATTACGTTTTGACCATTGTAACCTCCAGCTTTCTTCAAGGGTTCAGTTTGACATTTCAACCACCTGAAGAAGGCCAGAGTATACAATGGTCGAAACGTAATAAATATGGTGATAAAGATGAGGACAATAGTCTGAATAATATAAATAGTGTACATAATACCTCATCTCAGAAATATAGATAGATACAGAGAGAAAGAGCTGTTTAAATAGTCTTAGACCACTCCATCTTGTAGGGGTGTTCAGCTACTCCACAACAATTGAGTACAACTTCTTTAGCATACCCCAGAAAAAGTAGTCAGTTCTTTATTCTTTTAGCAAAACCATGTTTAATCTGAGGAGGTAAAAAAATACAGTTGATGAGATTTACTATGTATCCAGATTTTAGGGACATCCTGAATAACTACTAATTTACTAGTATTAATTAACTAGTAACTATTCTTTGTAGCTCTTAACATGGTTTCTTTTCATTACCCCTCCCACTCTCTTCCATCTATTTATACAAGCTTGCTAGGTAGCTTACTCACTGTTTCCCTTTGCTTGCCTTCGATATGTCCTCTGGGCATCAAATTTTGCAAGCCCTTTCCTCATTATGTGTCACAGAAACTTCAGTTGTTTCCTTCTGACTACAATTACAAGTGTCCTTTTTGTTTTTATTAATTTATAACTTCTTTGCATCCTTCTGTAGAACTGTATCTGTTGCCTCAAGTCACCTCTTCATCTGTAAGGAAATTGTCCAGCATTCACTGCTATATAGGAGGATTGATATTATATAGTAGTTCAGCATACTTTTGTTCCTAACAAGATTTCTTGTTTCTTCAAACTTTTAGTTTTTGGAAGGCATCCAGTTTTTTTTTACTATATTGCTACTAAATTACTAATTTTTTTTGTAACTAGTAATTTACTAATTCTGTAAAAAAAAAATTAAACAGATTTAAAGTCATATTCATAAATTGTTTTTCATGCAAATCTTTAAATATATTATTTTCATTGAATACAACAGACACTGGATATTTTGAGATGTTTTTTCTAGTGTTCTTAAAATATTTTTTTTTATAAAGACTAAGAATGTTTAGAAACTCTTTATATTGATGTTTATCCCAAACACATTTGGTTAATTCATTAGCTATTTTCAAGGATGGTAGGATGTGTAATTTTTATTGTTAGGATATTACAAAACAAAGAAAAGCAATATACTCACAATGAAAATTAACCTCACCCCCTTGAAAATGGCTCAATTACTAACTGAAAACACTTATAATAATCACTACAGACAATTCCTAGGAATTGATCATAGTCAGGATCATCAAGTCAATGTGAACAATCCTTTCCTTTAGTTGTATAGTATATGCTTCATCCAGGCTACAGTTTTGAATTCAGAGTTATTCTTCTAGATTGGTTGCCACCCAAGGCTATAGAACCCCGTCTGTTCTACTATTTAACCATAGATGAGGAGAGAAGAGTTGGATTCATATTTTTCCTAAGGGTATTCGCATGTAAGTGAATGTAATGAACTCAACTGGCATTCAAATTCAGCTCTCTGATTCCTCAATCCAAGCCACAATCCATTACTCTACCATGCCTCCAAGACAGTTTCTAACTACACCTAATCTTCATAAAAGAAAAATTATAAGAATGTTAGAGAAACTGAATAAAAAAGGGTTGCTGCCCAAAATATACAAGTTTACATTCATTAATTTTTCTGCCTGAATAATTTAGGATTCTTTTTATCCGTAAAATTAAGTATGGTACATCATTCTTTTATAATCTAAATTCTGCTTTTTAAAGTTATTAAACATAAAAATATCCAAAGAAAAGATGAAACGAAAAAACAATTTATTGGCAGCCTGATCTCTCCTACTAGTTAATGAGGTCGCTTTTGTTATGGTAACACAAATATGTTCACTTATGGTCATCAAATAATGCCTCCTGTTACTAAAACAATGGAACATTTCATTACTAAAGAAGGGAGATTGGGTTGCATGTCCAATAAATCTATGAAGTTTCATTGTTTTATAGAATAAAAAAACACCAGTTCAAGGGAGTGAGCTCTAGTAGAGCCATATTATATAAATATTTACATTCTTTTGTTATTTATTTTACAAGTAGAAGAGCAGAAAAATCACAGTTAATGATTGACTGATAATAATCTTATAACTATTTCTATGCAAATAACTTAGCAATGCCACCTGTGTAGATCTGCCTTTTCCAAAGTGTCATTTTGCCAAGAGGAATTAACTCAACAGGGAGATGTGGTGCCTTCTAAAAAAATAAGAATGCTACTAACTTGTATGACCCATGAATTTGTTGATGTTTGTATCAGCTTTCTTTCAACATCTTGACTGCCATCGCCCTCCTACTCTCTCTTTCCCACCCTGAACTCGTGGTTCCTACACTAAATGTTAGAGTATTGTGTTTATGTAATGATTATGCCAACTGGTTGCTGTCAGTATTAACTGTGTACACTCAAACACTCTTAAAGTCACTCAGTGTTCAATAAATCTCTTCTTTCAATTTAATATTTTCTTTTCTTTTGTTCTCTTAATTCTGTTCAACTTTCAAATATTGTTTTGTTAAATCAAAATAATAAAATAAAATAATTTGCCCCACCCCAACCAAATTAAACAAACAAACCATAAGCCTTTCTGTCTGCTTCCATAAGCATTCACAAGCAAATCTATTAAACCATTCTTTCACCTTCATCTCTTATCCTGTTATTTATTTAGCGGTAACAAAGAGGGAAAGAAATTGTCTGTATTGCTTTTGCTCAATTTAATGTTAATCTAATTGACAAAGTAGTAGAGGAAAAGCAGGTGAATTTTAGAAAACGATGGAAGATGTAAAGAAATTAAAGTGAATTGTGGGAAGAAAACATATTTCTTTTCAGCTTTCTGCATCTCAGCAGCCATTGTAGAAATTAATGGTGAAGCAATCACTGGTTTGTTGTAGCATCTTCAGTGTTGCAGCAAGTACCACTGCTACTATCACAAAAACCTAACCTCACACACAAAACTCTTTCTATATAAAATCCTTCCTATATATTATAAATAAACACTGTCATGATTTTTCACTCTCTTGCAAATAAAAATTCTGTCCACTTGCAATTTGCTCTTAAATGGATTTGTTTTCTGTCTCTTTAAAAGACAATCTAATACTGGCATTGTTATTACCACTATTTTGGTCCAGTTTTCTCTCTTTATGAAAATTCCCTTGCAATTATTTATCTATCTAAACTTCTCACTTTTGTTTCATCTTTATTCTCTTATTGTCTGTCCTTTGTGTGACGGCTCCATTTCTATGTTGTCTATAGATCTTATCCTCTTTTTCTAAAACTCTAAAGCAGAATTTTCCTCTTCTCTATTCTGTATCTCTCTCTCTCTCTCTCTATTCTGTATCTCTCTCTCTCTCTCTATTCTGTATCTCTCTCTCTCTCTCTCTATTCTGTATCTCTCTCTCTCTCTTCTTTCTCTATTCTCTCTCTCTCTCTTCTTTCTCTATTCTCTCTCTCTCTCTCCTTTCTCTATTCTGTATCTCTCCTTTCTATTCTGTCTCTCTCTCTTTCTCTATTCTGTATCTCTCCTTTCTCTATCTCTCCTTTCTCTATTCTGTCTCCTTTCTTTCTATCTCTCCTTTCTCTATTCTGTATCTCTCCTTTCTCTATTCTGTATCTCTCCTTTCTCTATTCTGTATCTCTCCTTTCTCTATTCTGTATCTCTCCTTTCTCTATTCTGTATCTCTCCTTTCTCTATTCTGTATCTCTCTCCTTTCTCTATTCTGTATCTCTCCTTTCTCTATTCTGTATCTCCTTTTCTCTATTCTGTATCTCTCCTTTCTCTATTCTGTATCTCTCCTTTCTCTATTCTGTATCTCTCTCTCTCTCCTTTCTCTATTCTGTATCTCTCTCTCTCTCCTTTCTCTATTCTGTATCTCTCTCTCTCCTTTCTCTATTCTGTATCTCTCTCTCTTTCTCTATTCTGTTCTCTCTCTCTCTCTCTTCTCTATTCTGTATCTCTCTCTCTCTCTTTCTCTATTCTGTATCTCTCTCTCTCTCTCTCCTTTCTCTATTCTGTATCTCTCTCTCTCTCCTTTCTCTATTCTGTATCTCTCTCTCTCTCTATTCTTTCTCTATTCTGTCTCCTTTCTCTCTCTCTCTCTCTCTCTCCTTTCTCTATTCTGTCTCTCTCTCTCTCTCTCCTTTCTCTATTCTGTATCTCTCTCTCTCTCTCCTTTCTCTATTCTGTATCTCTCTCTCTCTCTCCTTTCTCTATTCTGTATCTCTCTCTCTCTCCTTTCTCTATTCTGTATCTCTCTTTTCTTTCACTCACTCCTGTGATCTTTCTCTCTACCCATTTCTCTCTCTCTCTCTCTCTCTACCCTCTTGCATTACAACTCTACATTTCATATCTCCCTTCTACTTGTAAAACAACTGACAAACTCAACCTTGTTCATCTTGTGATGATTTTACTTTGTACACCAGGACCTCATCAAATTCACCCTCATTCTCCTGTCAGTTTTCATACTTTACCCTCAGTCATTTTCTACTTAGTGACAATGATAAACTCAAGCAGTGATGACCTGTACAGCCACATGAACCAGTGCTATACAAATCCATTATTCTAAAACAGATGTCTCTTTGCATGTCTCTCAGTTTCTTCATAATCTAAGCATGTCTGTGTAGTCTTCTAAACGTACAACTCACAGCTGTTTTGACACTTGCAATGTGATGGGAATTTGCTTTTGTAAACGATAAGTACAATATATAAAGAGACACAACAAAAAGAAAAAGGACACAATTTTAGAAAACTAATAAAAGAAATAGAATTAAAAAAAAGATGACAATTAAGAAAAAACATTTAAAATTTATAACAGGATATGAAATGCAACACTGAACTATAAAGGTATATTGAATACAAAAAGATGTATTCCAAAAGCTAAGCAAAGTATTAAGAAATGGGAAAATTTTATTAGAAATAAAGAAAAGAGTGCTGAACTGTTATGTAATATTGGTCTTCTGATATGGCAATGAACGCTGGACAATCACAGATGAAGAAGAGGCTTAAGGCAGCAGAAATATGGTTCTACAGAAGGATACTGAGAATATTATAGACAGAGCACATACACAATGAAGAAATCTTCAAAAAAGAGGAACAAAACACTTATTACATATGTCTATTCCTGATTCTTTCTTGGATATATAAGGAGGAAGGAAGGCTTGGAGAATTTTATACTTACAGAATATATTAAAGGAACAAAGGAAGGCAATAGACTGATGAACTTGTGTAAATGGATGATGAAATAATGGATGGGAGGCTTGTCAAAGGGACAAATGTTGCTAAGGGCTACACTTGATAGGGGGTTATGGAAAGCCATGATCACCCACATCCTGAAGGGGTATGGGACATAGAAAAAGAGATGGAATAAAATGGAAGAACAAAATATATTAAATAACAGAAAAAGAATAGACAATAGAATGGTTAAAGAAAACAGTAAGAAAAAAAAACAAACTTTACTGATTTCTATCATAGAAAAAAAATACTTGAAGAAAGGAAAAGTGGGGGAAAAAATATTAAATTGCATATGATTAGAGGTCAAAAGTCAATAATTTTAGTCAAAGAAAAATAAAAAGTGAGACAGTGAATCTCATTTGAATACCAGATTGATTTCTTAATCTTGAGAATTTTAAAATCTTTTTTCCCTGGTCTACTTCTTCACTTTCATTGAATATTTGTCTTCTTTTTTTTTTTTTTTTCAATCTCATCTCCACCCCAAAGCATTGTCTGCTTTACTCTATTACTATTACTCTCTCTATCTCTCTCTCGTTCCAGATTTTCAATACTTATTTTTATGATCTTCAAAATTTTTTTTGTCTTTACTTGTCTTTATCTTGAATATTTTTTTTTAAAATTTATAGAGAGAAACTGAAAGAAAGAGTTCCTTTTCTTTTTCTATCTTTATAACGAACAGAAAGAATTCATGTAGAAAACCAGATTATTATCGATCTATGTGCATTATGTATGTTTGTACTAACGTCCTCATCTTTATCACCACATTTTGTCTATTGTGTCCACCAACTTCAGGTGTCTGTTGTTCCAGGTAACCAAGTAATTTGGTATGGAACCCTTTGTTTAATGTACACATGCAGATTGTTCCCATGCCATTGTCCATATCCTGGGAAACTGTATCTTGTTTTTGTTTTATTCTTTTAATATTGCTCAATTATTGCTAGTCCTGTTTCATAAGGAACTACAAAGGCCAGTGATTGAATTCAAAATTATTAGGCCACCAAATTCATGAATCAAAGTTGATCCTTTAGGTTATTTTTCCAAAAATACCTGAGGAAGGCTGGGGAATACAACTGCCAAAATGTTGTGATGATAATAATAACAAAGGTGAAAATATTAGTCGCATTGTAAGAAAAAAAAAAAAAAAAAAAAAAATAATGTAAATAATTGTTATATAGAAATAAAGTGTCGCTGCCGACACTTGAGTTTGAACATAGATCGCCAGTGAGCAAACACAGGCGATCACATTATTGATTTAAGTGGATCACTTGACCATAAATGAAATGTATAAGTAGAAAGTATTGTGATGACTAACAATCTCCATTCTATTTTAATTGCTATTACTATTCGGATCACTATTTCTACTCTATCCTCTATCACTATATGGACCGCTATTCTCTACTCTATTCCCTATACTATTTCTCTATTTGGATCACTATTCAAGCGAGTATTATCAAGAAAGTACTATTAATGCAAGTGATATTCGAAGACATCAGACACCAGTATTGTTCAACAGAGTTATTCGGTTGGTGCAAAAATAATGTTGTTTCTTGACATTCAACTTAACGTAAAAAAAACGACATTATTTTTGCACCAACCTAATACTATATTTTGTATCAGCAATTACAAAATCTCTACTACAATGAGCATTACAAAAGTGACAATGTGTATTCGTTGGCATCACAAAAAAATAATGATAAATCCTCATTCCCCAAAATTCAGAGATAAGGTGATAACAACAAAGATGAGGATATTAGAAATTACTAAAAGTCTTTTTTTTGTTTGTTTGTTTTTTTTTTTAACATGTCTCTTTATTTTTTTTTTTTTTTTTACTTCTGTCTTCACCCTTTGTCCCTGGGACTTTTTCCTCAACATTTTTTTTTTCCATAGGCTTATTTATGACCTCCTCCTCCTCCTCCTCCTCAGGTTTTAATGAAATATTCTTATGTCTTTCACAACCCTAAAATCTTTTTTTTGGCAAGCAGGTTTTTCACTTAACAAAGATAATCATTATTAAAGCAACTATTCTTGTTAAAGCCGTTAGAGTTTATTTTTTATTTTTTATTTTTTCAGAGGGACATGAAAGATTTAAGACTATCGACTTGACAGCTTTATCATGTATCCAAGAATATAATTTCTTCTTTTCTGATTGCTTCCTTTACGATGATGGCATTGATGACTAAATAGTCCAATTCTTGCATGGAAGGGCTGATGTTTGTTTGGTGGGGTGGACAAAATCAGAGAAGAAGAAAGTGCTGATGCTGTGAATTTGTTTAAGGTGTCACTTGCAAGGAAGTGACCTACACACTTGATTTCATAACCTTCCTCTGCAGCACACATGGAATGTGACATTCAGAATCCAGTTATGAAACTGTAAAGGACTGCCGTTAACTCTATTATAATTTCAAGTGGCACCTTCTGTAATATGTCCATCATGCATAGCCCTCTACATTTGCTTCAACTGTTGAGATCTGTTATAACCATCATCTGCATGTTCCAGTGCTGGTGTCTTTTGGTTGGTTGTACTTAGTCTGGGTTCTCGTCATGAATTCTAAACTCTTGGTAGGGCCACTGTTGGCAACTACCACTGTTATTTCCCTTTTATGAAGAACTTTTTCTTCATTGTTTTTAGATCTTATTCACCCTACTCTCACTTTTTTTATAGACTTACAAGACTTGTGCTCCCATTATTTTCCAATCTAGTGAGTCAGCCTACCAATAGGCTTCGTGTTGTTTCTTTATCTTCAATTATTATGTGAGACTTTGCAATATTGTTGCAGAAATCACCACTTTTGTTGCAAGGTGTGGACATATTTTTTTTCCTTTTTTCTTTTATAATTTCTTGATGGATCCTGATACATTTGTCCAGTATTGATAGACTCATGAGTTTGGACAAAAACAAACAAAAGAACATGGAACTTAAACAATTATAAATAAATATATTCAACCAACATGTTGCAAAAAGGAAAATGAGAAATGAAGTTGAAACTAACCTTCAGTATGTGTCTCTGCAGTAGAAAAATAAGAGAATGTCTTGTCACTGCTAAAGTGAAAAAAGAAAAAGGGGTGGTAATTCAATATCTTTCAGCTTGTGATTTTTATCAGGGGGCAGTAATCCAATAATATTGTGGTAGAGCAGCTCCATGATTTTTTACAATGGCCGATAAATTTGAGCAAATTGCTGGCATCAAATTTTGCATGAAGCACAGAAAATCTGCTACTGAGAAATTCAAAATACTTTATCAGGCTTTTGGTAAAAAATTCTTTAAGTTGAACATAAGACTTTCAGTGGCATACACATTTCAAGGCAATTAGTGTTCAGGACAACTGATCAGAAGCTGAATACCAGAAAATGTGAATTCAAAAGTTAATGAATTCATCCATGAGGTTTGTTTCTGAGCAATTTATCAGCTATCTCTAAGTCAAACAGGAGATCCTCATGGAAAACCTGAACATGCATTTCAGTACTGTAAAGTTTGGCTCTTGACATATACCTTAAGTTTCATGAGGAGGCAAACAACCAAAGTGATGGTAGTCAGTTTTGAATTGTATATCTATAATATTATTGGACACATGACCGAGTGGTTAGAATGTTCACTTTCTGAAGAGACCGGGGTTCAAATCCCACTATGGTCAACTTGTCATGAAGGTGAATTCTGGGGAAGGTGGTCCGAGTGTTTCCCACTTTTGGAAGGTGCCCAAAAGCCATACCACAGGTTGACCAAGCATTGTGAGTGAAATTGGTAGACGGATCTCTTTGGGAAGTCATTGCTGGTTGAGCTAGTATGAAGTCCCAAGTCATTGTGACCGAGGGTTCAAGCATGCTGGCCTTGTTCAGATCATGCTAGATAATGCACTTTCTCCCAGAAACTGTAACTAAGGTTCACTCAGCATAGTTGCAGTATGAAATACTGGTGGAGTGAACAAACACAAATGTGCCTGAGCAAGCGTCTGCAACAGGGATTAGCTAGCCACTCTAGTAGATGAACATCATCAGATATAAGTAGCCAGCCATTTAATATTATTTACCATTTTTTTTAAAGCCTAGTTCAGGAACTCATAGAATTGTAGTTCCTTTTCCTCTGCCTTTTTTAATTCACAAGTTCTCTATACAAACATCACATCTTTACTGTCAGATA